TGTTTTTTTATACTTTACAAACACGCGGTCATTCACATTATATGTAGCATCGCAAGAAGTTTTGAGCCTTTAGTTATTTCTATTGTTGCATTTTATGGTTGCAGCCTTTGCTTTGTCCCTAATGTTTTTTTTTGCGATTTGTTATAAATGACTGAAGAAGGTGGCTATAATTTCAAATGACCGTAGAGGGGGACTACAGATACAAATGTAGGAAGGGATATTGTTACTACTGAATGTAGAGGGGCTGTATTTACAACTAACTGTAGTGGGGGATATAGTTACAAATGACTGTAGAGGGGGCTATAGTTACAATTAACTGAAGGAGGAGATATTGTTACTTCTGAATTTAGAGGAGGTTATAGAAACAACTATAGAGGGGGTCAATAGTCACAAGCATAGAGGGTTGCTGTAGGTAATTATTCAGGACCCTCGGTACCTTTCGAGGGAATGGGGCTGGGTTGTTAGAGGGGAAAATTATTGTGAGGATTTTTCAAAAAATTTACAGGGGTTTTCTTATAGTGCTTTTCATAATATACCAAGTTATATCCAAGTCTTAATTGGTTAAAATACGTAAACATGAATAATTTAATATAATTATAATGATATAGTATTGAACAAGTATAGACGCATGTTTTGCATTAAGTTTCTTATTACATGCATGTAAAAAGGGCCTAAGCTTTGTTAATTTCAAACGGATTTTTGTCAGGAGAATTAGGACAGGAGATTTTTACATCAAAGAAAGGGGAAAATAAATAGTTTTTTCAGAGGGGAACGGGGCCGAAAACAGACGTAGAGCGGGGCCTGTTATTGGTGATGTCCATAGTTACAAGTGAAAATTGAAAAAAAAACGCGAATGGAAGGTCTCAATGTGGCTTACATTCAACATATTTTCGACCACCGAAAAATATAATTTCAGTGCGTAGGCTACACCGTTGCAAACAGTATGTCCGCCAGAAAGTTAAAACACATTCATCTTCTCAAATGTTGTTGCCGGAGAATGCTAAGGCGATGGCGTCATCTTTCGTCAGGTCGAAGAGAACAGTTTAACTTAATTAAATCGCGCGACAGAGTTTTGACACCTGGCATTTTAAGTGATATCTATGCAAGCACAGGAGTATCAGAGCCTTCCATATATTCAATTTGTTCTACGATCGTGAATGAGGTGGTTAAATTGATGGATACCGCTGTGTGCCTTAAAGGGTCTTTGGTATGTCAGCATATCTAGCATATTCAAATGAGTTAAATATATACATGCATTTATATTTAAAAGGGCCTTTTAAAGATTTTTGGATAAAACAAAGCTACGTCCAAGTTTTCATGTATAGTGATTGTGCATTACAAAGATCGATTGGAAATGTTAGATTATAGTACAGTATATTATGGAATTCCATAAACGACAGCCAACTGTTGACTGCTTACTGCGCGCTGCTTACACTATTGCTTACTGCCTACCGTGCGTTGCGCGTATTTATTCGAATGTATCAGCCAAAGGATTCCGACCGAGTTATCAACGAGTTATTGCACAGACACGCATAATTAATTGATAATAAGTTTTGGTACATTTAGTGTTATAAGCAGTGAACAATAAGCAGTAAGCCGTAAGCAGTTGACAGTAGGCAATTGACAGTAAGCAGTTGACAGTAAGCAGTAGGCAGTTAACAGTAGGCAGTAGTTGGTCAGAAGTAGACAGTAAGCAGTCAACAGTTTGCTGTCGTTTATGGAATTCCATGTTATAGTTCATGCATTTATTAATTTATCAGTGAATTCCTTTAAATGCAGTTCTAAGAATATATATGTATCTGTAAACTATTAAAGTAAATTAGGTGGCAGAAAAATACCAAGGGTCCAACGGGGTTTTGAACCACAGACCTCTTGGTTCGTAGACAGACACCTCAACCTCGTCGTTAAAGGGTTAATCTAACTGCAAGGCTGATGGAAGTGGCCTATATACCTACAACCACTACACCCCTCCCCTCTTTACTTTTCAGAGCTAACCTGATTACCGCATGAGTCTGTCAAACACTTCTGACACCATTAAAGTAAATTAAGAGGCAGAAAAATACCAAGGGTCCAACCGAATTTTGAACAACAGACCTCTTGGTCCGTAGGCGGACATCTCAACCACATCGCTAAAGGGTTTACCCAACAGCAAGGCTGTTGGTAGTGGCCTATATACCACTGCACTATATTGTGATTGACCTCCAGAACGGCAACTATTTCGGCAACTCAATATTTTTTTACCAATATAGTTGTAATAGCTCGTCCATTTTTATTTCAATGCTATAAGTAGTGAATAATAAGTAGTAAGCCGTAAGCAGTTGACAGAAAGCAGTTGACAGTAAGCAGTAGGCAGTCAACATTTGGCAATTCTATAGTACGAGTATATTGATTAAGTAATGTTCCCAAAGAAATATTGAGATAAATATAAAAAGTTATGAGAGTATAACAATTCTGTCATAAACCTAAATCAATACACCGCATAGTTACGAATTTCGACATCAGATCAATTGGGTATTATTTAATACTTACATGTAGTAAAGACTATCTAGGCAGATTATGAACAGTTATAATATAAAATATATGTTAAGATATAGTTCCCCCTTAGCATTAACAAGCGGTTTGCTCAGTTATTTCAAATAATATAACAAATATACATGTATATCCAAATGTTTTGTTCATGCATTTTGCAAGAAAGACATCCTCAAAGAGAAAGTTTGATCTCACACCTGGTCCGTGGTTGAGAACCAAATCAATCCATTTTATCAAAAATCGTTTCTATGGCTATACAAGGTTTTTACCATAGACCGCGAAATACAACTTTTGTTTGCTTCCTACGATATGTTTTCATGTGTAAATGGTATAAACTTTAAATGTTTTAACACTTACTTTTTTTTCAGTTCCATCTGTTTCTTTCCTACCAAGTGCGATATTTAGCGTCAAGGGGTTGCGACATTTAGCGGCAATCAATTTGTGTGCGACATATAGCGGCAACGTTGCGACATTTAGCGGTAAGCGATTGCGACATATAGCGTAGATTGAGACATATAGCGTCAGCGTTGCGACATTTAGCGTTAGTTGCGACATATAGCGGCGTTGTGACATTTAGCGTTGCTACAGTGTTTTTACTTTCATACACAATTTTGTCCTTCCACTGACAGCAACTTCTTCAGTATCACATATTACAAAATTGCCATACAACGTGATCTTTTGGACACGGAACATGTGCATTTATTCTGCTCAGTTTGGAAATATGTTCTGGTTACCCAACCGATTTTGACGAAATAAAATAAAGAGTATCCCTATTTGTACAAGCTTTCAAAACATTCATTTGAGTACAATTATTAGACTGAGTGGCCATGTAACGTTACTGTGATCTTCTAGTGTCCATAGTCCGATGTAAACATTTTAACTTATAATAACAAATTCACTTATTAATAAAATAATTAACTTTTCCTTTTCAATCTCCTGGTCATTAATAATAATATCAAATGTATTAATTAATAAAAACATATTCAGAATTGGACAACACGTACGCAGGAGAACCGTATGGAAAAGGTCACGTGGTATTGCCATATGTAAATCTATATACATGTAGCATGATCATGTCCAATTTGAGGAAAGAACTTAATTTTCTCTAACGTAACTTTTGACCAACTTGATTAATTATGGTAAGCAAGTTTGGCTTTTTTATTCCTTTTTCAGCGATATTTCCTCTTCCGGCAATTACAGTTGGCTTTGTGTCGATTGTAACCAATTTTACAAGTATTTACTCAGACAATGCTGTTTAGAATACTTACATAAATAAAAAGATCCCTCAATAAAAATCTGATGACGCATTTCTTGTTAATGTTTATATGGTTTTTATCGTGCGTTACATAATATTTATGTAGTTGTTTTGGTGAATGATTTGAAAAATGATAAATCTTTATGAACAGGCATCGTTTAGATCTGATATTTAGTCGACTACAGCTCTTTGGATTTTATTAATTTACTTTCAGACGAGTATCAATTGATCTATAAGCCGTTCTGTGCATAACCGCCTACCATATGAATAAAGTTCTGTTTCTCGTTTTGATAACTGGTATCAATTTATCAACGATATCTAAATGAGAATTCATCACCGGATGTTCCGATTTATATGACATTGCAAAACTCATTTCTATTTAAAATCGGCCGAGGCATTAATCATCCGCCTAAATGATAATATATAATACATGTATATGATCCACGGCGCAAGAATGTAATAAAACAGTCTAAATATATAGAATATATAAATGTAGTGCAATAACACTTTGACGTGACGTCATTTGCCTTATATACAAAAAAAACGCTGATGTTTGCGTTACACTATAATCGCGTCATTAACAAATGGCTTTTACAGTATGTGATAAATATAATATAATACTCGTGTAGATTCTCTTGTCGTGTACATGGAACGATACTTTTATCACCAGAGGCTCCCAAAATATGATTTTATTCAACTCCTTCAATAAATTAGATATTAGATCTACATTCATTTAATATATTTATGTTCTCAATTGTTCATTTGTCTTAAGTATGAATATTGTAGAATAAACTTTACAAAACATACAAATTGTGCCCTGCAGCGAAACTTTCAAAGTACATATTGGCCTAATTAATTGTAACGAGATAACTACAAACGAGCGATGTTATTTACTAGTTTTTTCTCTCCTTTTTTCTCTATTTTATTTGTAATTAAATTATTGGTCAATATGCAATGATATTATCAGAATTGTGCCATCCCTTACGGCAAATATTTATGTTATTTCAATTAAAGTTAATAAAAACAACTGTTAATTGCTTTTGGACTAACAAGTATGCGGATCAGCTTTTATATTCTTTTAGCTAAACGTAAGTTTTTAATTTCAACTACGACACGAAAACACTTTTTGTTTTATCTGTGTCTCTATTTCTTATTTTAATGTCTGAATTTTGTAGAATAATGCTTCAATAATTCTTACGGCAAATATTTATGTTATTTCAATAAAAGTTAAGAAAAACAACTGTTAATTGCTTTCGGACTAACAAGTATGCGGAACAGCTTTTATATTCTTTTAGCTAAACGTAAGTTTTTAATTTCAACTACGACACGAAAACACTTTTTGTTTTATCTGTGTCTCTATTTCTTATTTTAATGTCTGAATTTTGTAAAATAATGCTTCAATAATGCTTGTATGAAATAAATTGCGCAAATGGCGCATACACGAACTCATTGCTTACAATAAAAGCCCCTTAAAATAGCAGAATAATATTCTGTACACGATATCCATGTGTGTTTAAAACCACAGACATTCTATGCTGTATCTCTTTCGAGAATTGAGAAAACGATATAGCTCTGTTAAGGTATTAGGACCCTAATGGGCACTATCAGGAACTTAAGAATTGACATCATAGGTGTATACCTTAAAGTACACCTGTATGCAAAATTTAAACAAAGTTTACCGTACGGAAATCAAGTTATGGCCACTTTTCTGAACTCAAGCTAGGATGTTATGAGGGCCCTTTTTTAGAAATGAGGAACCTTTAAATAATCTGCAATAACATTCTAATGAAAAATGTTTTCCCATAAATTTTTGGTAAGAAACAAATAATACCATTCATCTAACAATCCACATAAGCAAAATTATGGTTTCTACTTAAAATTTATGAAATCTGTATAAAAATGTTACCCTACCTCACCCATTTTTACCACATGTCTGACCATTTTTCTACTTAGAGAGCCTAATTAAAAAAAATCTTAAAATTTACCCAAATGAGTGCCTGTTTTCAAAGTTTCCCTAAATTTTTAAAAAAGTATATTGGTTGATCTTGTAAAATATGAAATACTTTTACCGTCTAGTTTTGATTATATTACACTTTGAAAATATCAGGTACCATATTTATTACTAGATTTACCATAATTTAGCTAATAAATACCTATATAAATTAAAAATTAAACACTTTTTTCTTTCCATATGGGACATGAGAGATACATAAATAATGTTACAAGAAAAAAAGAAAGAAAAAAAAGTTGACCCTTCTGGGGATTGAACTCATGGCCCTCATTTTCAATGTAGTTAACAGTAATTCTAGCCTATTTGAATACTCTTCAAAGCGGAGGTAATGCATTAGGGTGCTAATACCTTAAGTTTAATCTTTATAAATTTTATAAAAGATTACATATGATATAGCTTTGTACCCTATTAAGTGTAAATCAAAAGAGCCGTGCTATGAAAAAACAAACATAATGCGTTTGCGACCAGCATGAATCGAGGCCAGCCTGCGCATCCGCACAGTCTGATCAGGATCCATGCTGTTCGATATCAGTTTCTCATCTTGTTATAGGGTCTGTAAGCGAACAGTATGGATCCTGATCAGACTGCGAGGATGCGCAGGCTGGTCTGGATCCATACTGGTCGCAAACCCATTATGTTGGTTTTGTCGTGACGCGGCTCAAATATGCATACGCTTAATGGAGTTATGTTATTAGAGTAGGCAAGTATTTTGATTGTTGATTTGATTAGGAAAAATAAGTGACTTTGTATAGCAATTATAAGCTTTTCACCCTCTCTGTTTGACATGGAATATATCAATATGCTCAAGATACTTATTGCTTATAACAAAATTATTATGTGTCAGAAATCACTATTATATATGATGTTAACAAAACATTAATCAAACATGAAGAGATAGTATATAACAATAACCATTTAATTCATTTATACTGATGTTTTAGTAACGCTTCTGGTGTCGTGCAGTTCTAACGATGTCGAAACGAGACTCAAAAATGGTCAAAACGTAGACAAAGATATGTATTCATTTGTCGTTAAAATTGAGTTGTCTGGAAAACAAGTTTGTACCGGTCTTCTAATAGATCAGCAATGGATATTAACGTTAAGAAGATGCATTGACAAACGGTAAGAATCCACTGTTTTTATTGATATTTATTATGCAAATATTAAAGAGTTTATATTTTTTAATTGTACCTACAGCTGTGTTTCTACCATTATATTGCACATCAATCCCGTGCGTCCAAATTGTAAAAGGCTTAGAACATCAGGTAACATAAGTACTTCACATCCGGTTTAGAATCGCACGTAAAACATGACATGTCCGAACGTATGTAATACATGTCAACTAAATAATATAAATATGTGTATAAATGTAAATTCATTTGTAAAATATTACATTACGATAAGTTCTGTATTGTATTCTAATGTAAAGTGACTTTTATTGTTTTACTTTGTCTTCTTTTCACAGTTCCATTGCAAAATACAAAGTACATATAAAGGACGCAGATACTGGAAAGTTCATAAGTCGTAAACTAAAAAGATCGAAGGTAATATAAAGATTTATGATTTTATATGAAAATTAATAGTTACTTAATTATAAGTCAATAAAATACTTGTGTCAAATAAAAGGAAATTTTTTAACACTGACAAGAAAAACAATGCTTTTATTTATTTAATTAATTATTTATTTATTTACTCATTCATTCATTCATTCATTCATTCATTCATTCATTCATTCATTTATTTATTTATTTACTGTCTAATTGTAACACATTACAGAGAACAATTTAGCAAGAAGATAGGGCTAATTACCTTCTTACTAAGTAGTTAGTTTTCATGTATATAAGACAAATTGCATATCTTTATTTGATTGACTAGATCCATTTTCTATAAGATAGGTAAAGGACGTAATTAGTCTTGTTTAATAAAAACAAAAAACAACAACAAACACTTACGTATGCCCATAACTACAAACACTTAAAAATTAAAGCATTTGATAAATCTCATTTTATCTACACGACGTTTGTCCTGTGAGCTTTTCAGAGTAGCATCAACTGATAAACTTCATAAAGATAAATTTACATGCAAAGTGGTCTGCTTTGAGAATTATCTGAACGATTCTTGCTTTTTCCCATCGAATGAACTTTAACTAACTGTTCAGCAACTAGATAATATAGAATGATTCGGACATATACCTAGCGAGCCATGTTATTGTTTCACGTATCAAGTGGATACGAAAAGTTCTTTGATTTGAAACTATTATAAACACTTAACATTTAGATTACAGATAATGGTTTTCATATGATTTACTAAGTAAGAGGCGTAGCGGATTATTTGGATATAATGTTTTTACTGTTGTAACGTACACCATCATATTTTGCATTACTTTTATCTGCTACAGGAACTGGATGAAAAGAACGCAAAAGTAATTCTATTAGAACTTGACATAATAATTCAGACGAAAGTTTTGTCAACTAATGATTTAAATGGTGGAAGCATTGATAATAAAAAGGAAACCAGCTGCATCGTAGTTGGATTTACAAGTAAGTTTTTCCTAATCTGATTATTTTAAATGTCTTAGATGATTAATCTATTGTTTTAAAATATAATTAAAGGTTCTGTTACACATTTTTTATAGTTTCATATAAAAACTACGATGCTCAAATTAAGATTTATCAATATTGTAAGTTCCAAAAAAGCATTATTAATACAAATATTACAGAATCTAATATTTCATGTAAATAAAGGGAGGTAATTAGAAATATAAATTCTAAGTTAAATTTTCCAATAAGACATGAATGCATATAATTTAATGACTAGATTCAATATGTACAAATATTTGCAGTACATATTTTACATATTCTTCAATGTTTGAAAATCGTTGTATTAACATAATAACATACATACATAATTTCACGTAGGAGTGGTATACAACCTCAATTTCAACACAAACATGATAAAAGAGCAATTTTGCAATTATAGTATTTTTACAGTCTAGTGTCATACCCTTAAATCAATAAAATTACACAATTTTGGCTATTCGACCAATGCATCTCTACATCTTTAAGAGCACAATCTTTACAACAAGTCTTACTATTACTTTTCCCATGCAGCATAAGTACATACTGAACATTAATGAAGAGAGCTTATTTAAGATTGCAATTGACACTTGAAGTAAAAGTGTAATTTTGTATTGACATAATCATAATATAAATAAATAAAACTTTGAATTATCCATACATCTATTTATTTGACAATACGTTTAACTTTGTATCATTAATAAAGGCAACGGTAATTCTCTGAATAAAGTAAAAGTCGACGCAAATTCACCAAAGAAATGTTCTGGTGAAGCATGCAAGAAGAATTTACGCTTTGATACTGTACATGGCGCAGATGTATGTCAGGTATGAACATTGACGTTTTAAATTGTTTTTTGTTTGTTTGTTGCTGTTGTTGTTATTTTTGCTTTCTTTCGATTATTTGTATTTATTTGTTGAATTGATAAATATGTTTAAAGATACTGTAGTGATGTAATTTATACATTTTCTGACAAACAGAAACACATCTTTCATCATAGTAGCACAAGTAAATTTTACCATTTTGTACGATCTGACTGCTTGGTATTTCAGAGTGATAACGGAGCGCCAGTCTTTTGCAAAATTGAAAGCAAATGGTTTTTTACAGGGATGGCCGTTGTGAAGAAAGGGTGTCAAAAGAAGGATATTTTGATTGTTACACTATCGCACTTAAGTCGGTCAATATCAAAGGTAAACATTTTCGTGTAGTATTCATATTATGTATATCAATTTTAATAACATACTTTATTTCAGTTTTATACTGTTTGCATTTTAAGGAATTCCTTTCTATTTTATTAAAAGTTTTGAAAAATCTTTATATAAACATGTGTAAATTATATATCAATTTCTAACATATTATCGTCATTTTTTTACAAATATTATTCAAATATTGCAGGCTCTCAAAGAAGAACGTAAGTTTAATCTTCGTATTAGTATCCATTGTTATGTGATGTAAATATAGCTGCAATCTCATTGGTCCAAAAAGAAGTCAACAAAACTCTTACATTAAATCATTTTCACTGGGTATAGCATGTATAGTATCATATTCACTGGCTGAACTGGATTTTCTCTGTCGAAAAATAGATTGAGACTCATAGACAATGACCATACACTGTAGAATATTATTACGCGTGTTAATTAAAAAAAAACAATTGTTGCGTTTTTTTCTTCATGTCATATTTCTCGATTAAAATATTATTATTTTACTTTTATACTTAAAGGCTACACCGCATGATGAGTATAAACTTACCTTTGTATGCGAAGCATTCGCGTAGCCGTTACATGCCTAACACGTTCTTCGTCTTTCCCGCGCCTAAATGTGGCAACATTTTTACATGTATAAAAGGTTGTACTTTTTGGGATTTTTTTTTATTTTAGCCTTTTCATATAATAAAACAATTATGACTAGTGAGCCATTGAATATGAAGTGAGATTCACCTGCAGAATGTCATATTGACCTCGGCCATCGCCTCGATGAATATATCATCTGCCCGTGAGTATCACATCATATTCTCTGGCTCACTAGTCAAATATTGTATAATACCGCAAACTACACGAACGAATATCGGACCTTATATAAAATAAATTAATTATAAGTACTCCTATTATTTGATACTACACTTTTAACGTTTTAAATGACATCTTAATTTAGCAAGTGAACTTGGAACATTAAAACCTGCATATCTCCAGATAAGTAAAAATTTCCCCAAGTCTACCCCCCCACAAAAAAAATGGGAAAAAAAATAAAAAATATATTTTTTTATGATTAAGCTTGCCTTACATCTTGTAGTATGTTTCAAAACCTAATTTGAAACTAAGTTGAATTCCTGAAGATGACTTCACCTCATTGAATTTAGATATAGTAGTGCATAGACTACTTCATTTTTTGCTGACAATTATTCGCTTCTGCAGAAAGATTGGATATTTACTTAATGTTCTTTAAAACTGCAATGAATAATAAGCTTTTACTATCGCAAACGCTACTTTAAGATAAGTTTTATTTCAAGTCGGCAAGTTTTCAACATTACAACATAAGCTCTAGGAGCTTTTATAACCGACTGTAAATAACATAAAGTATAAGATCAACAAAGATGAAACAGCTACAATAAAAAATGATTAGACATGATATATATACATCACATGCATAAAATAGACCTTTTAAGATATATTTATAAAAACGAATCATATGCTAAAAAACTTAAAAATTGATAGTTTACCCAAATCTACATCACTAGCAATGTCTAGTATCTAAAAATTTACTTAAAGTTCAATAATATACTGAGTAAACAATTAAAAATTTAATGAATTATTTAAATAAATAAATAAATAAAAATACTAAAAAAAAAAAAAAAAAAAAAACAAAAAAAAACATACATTTTTTATAAATTATTTAAATATGAAAGACTATGGGTTATCAGACTACATATAGACAGAAGGTATTAAACATGTAAGTCATTAGTTGAGCTTATTTAACAGCTAGCTTGAGTCATGCTGGAAAAGATAAGCAAAAAAAAAACAACAAAAAAACAAAATTAAAAAAAACAACAACAACAAAACAAAAAGCAAAATCAAAACAAAAGATCACAAAATAAAGCAACATCCTATCTAGAAACTGAATGATAATAATAACATAAGCAGGGAAGAATAGCAAAAACACATTTAAAGCAAGCAAGAGATAAACAACTGAAGAAGCTAAATGATAAATGTGACTGACCCAAAAGAAAATATTCATACCCAGAAAAATAAATAAAAAGTGGAGTAAATCGAGATATAGAAGTTAGCTGCAGGCAATACATTTACACTGTTTACCATTCCAGGGTGAAATTAACTTTTTAAACTGAGCAAAATTTGAACATTTTCTAAAATTTTCGGGTAGAGTATTCCATATAAAATACAAGATGATCATTAAAGTTAAATTTGGTACCTAAGACTTACTTGTTGAAGATGAAAATTACCATTTTTGACGAGTGTTTTTGTAGCATATACAAAAGTTTTCCGACGAACCCCGTGACTGACAGTTATCATAAGGACTCATGTTAATACAGGAAATCCATCCTTCGTGTACCATTACCGCCACACTTAACCCGTGAAATAATAATTTATTTTTTTATGCAAGTAATGACTGATTTAAGAGTATTTATCAGAATATTGGCCCTGCTTGACAAACATTTCATACTAGTCTAATATAATGACTGTTAAAGAATCTAATTTATAATAAAGTAGCAAAAATATTCCGTCGTATAATGTCTTTCATTGTGGATTAAGGAACAGCTGTATTTCATTTTGGTCCCACTATTAACATGTTTATTTATGATATGGTCCGCCTAGATGATTATTAAATTAAGACAATATTTTACAATGTAAGCCAAGTAATTTCAAGAGATATATCAAGCCACATTATGTTATGTACATGTTGTATCTAGATACAATATTAATGTATTATAGTCATTGCTCCTAACATCAATCTTATCTATAATAAAGAGCATTTTTAATATTTTCATGCAGAGGAGACATGTGTACATCCGGATTGTGTCCTTGCAGGTATTTATTTTTCCTTTGCTTCATAAATGTCTGTAAGACTTTATTTATTTATATCACCAAAAATTTGGGTATTACATTTAATGATATAAAAGTTATAATTAGTAATGCAGCCGATCTGTTGAACAATTAATTGCATAAAATGTATGATAATCATTTATACTAGTGTTTATTTATCTTTGCCATTTTGAAGCATATTGGCTTCTGTCAGGTATTCCTTTATTTTAATATTGGTCTAATACCAAAGTAATGCAATTTATGATTGCAAAACAGTTACAGTACCTTTTATTTATTTGATTCGTAAATTGTTCCTTTTGAAAAATACTAGTACGAGTATTTTTATTAACAGCTGCGAAGCTACTGAAATCAATGGATACAGATATTGATCCGTGCGATAATTTCTATAAGTTTGCCTGTGGCAAGTATATCAAAATGACACCAATTCCAGTGGACAAACAGTTGTACACAACTTTAGCTGATATACATATAGATATACGCATGATTGTGAAATGTAAGTCTCACTTATATTGCTTTTCTTTTGAATTTATATCCAAAATATTCTGGTATTTGTAAGCTGATGAGGTTTTCTTTGATGCCGTGCTTAATAAAATACTTAAATACACGATTGGTTGATATAAAATGCATATTGTATTATTATTTTAACTTTTTGCATGATCAGCTTTAAATGCATAAATGCTTCTGAGGGATCACTTTGTTCCCAGAATTTTAATGATATCGAAGTAGTCAAACGGTTTTACCCGATTGGTTGATATAAAAAGTATATTGTATGAAACTAATTATAAACTTACCTAGTATTTCTTTACTTCACTGCATTATCAGCTTAAAACAAACCAAGCTATTGACTTGAATCGTGTTGTAAAGATGTTTCTGTCGAGAATTTCAAAATTTTCCTTAATGTAACAATACGGAAATTTATCAAAACAAAATAATTATTCATCTGATGGCGAAGAAATATTATTTTACGGTGTGTAAAACAACATTCGCATTCACAAAAAAAAATCAAAAACAAAATCAAATATGTGTTCTGGTAAACAGAGTTGAGGACGATTACTGTAACAGTTTAATTATTGATTCTTGTCTTAGACTTGTTACCCTTTCTGTAAATATTTCCCAAACATCTGGTTTTAGTATCTCTAATTACGTCGATGCAGAACACTGACATCTGTAATTTATGTAAAAATGATATATTCTTTAAGTTGTTAAAGATAAGATATCACTTGTAGATACATGTAAATCTGTTTCATGCAATGCACAATTTAGGATTGTAAACGCATTATGCACATTTTGATGAAATTACTGTTGTAACACGTTGTTTTGTAATCAAATACTTGCTAAATTTACATATAAATTATTTATTCACATTGTCAAATCTAACCATTATTAAAACACTTTGAATGTTACATTCAAGATAAATTAGAAGAGCCGAGTAAATCAGGTGAAATTGAAGCTGTAACCAAAGCGAAGGGATTTTATGAAGCTTGCATGAACACAGGTATGGGTGAGATAAAAAAGTGACTTTATTTAACAATTTAAATTACATAACCTGTATAATTAAGCTCACTTGTTTTTTTTTTCACTCGAAATTCCAAGAGTTATGAAAATGTTGTTCAAAACCAATTTTATGCCCCGCCATAAAATAGCTGGGGCATATAGTGTTACCTCCGTCAATCCGTCATCCCTAATTCCGCTATTAAACAATTGCACACATTCAACTCAACTTTGATATATTGACATATTATAGAAAAATGCAGGCACAGTTCGATTTTAGTCATGGTCCGATGATTTTTGGTAGAATAATGCCCCTTTCACTTTTTGAAAAATAAGAAATTTTCAGTTTCCGCCCATGATCTCTCCGACAGGTGTACACATTCAACTGAAATTATACATATGGATACGACAAAAAATTCGCAGTTCAATTTTCCAATTATGTCATGGTTTTATGATACCCCACCCCCCCCTTTTTACTTAGAAAAATCAACAAATTTTCAGTTTCCGTTTATTATCACCCCAACAGTTATTCACATTCAACTTAAATTCGACATATGGTTACGTTGAAGGAATACGCAGGTCAAGTTCGTATTTGGTAATGGTCCGATGTTTTTTTTTGCAGAGTGATGCCCCTTTCACTTTTTGAAAAATAAGGATTTTCAGTTTCCGTTCATGATCTCTCCAAACGATAGTACACATTCAACTCCAAATAAAACATATGTTTACGTCAAATGAATTAGCAGCTCATGTTCGGCATTGTTCATGATTCGATAATTGTTGGCAGTCTTATGCCCCTGTCACTATGAGAAAAATAAGAAATTGTCAGTCCCGTTCATGAACTCTGTAACGGTAGTACACATTCATCTCAAATTGGACAAATGAATACATCATATGTGCAGATCAAGTACGAAGTTGGTAATGGTTCAATGAATTTTGGTAATGCCCTTTTAACTTTGAAAAAAAATCAGTTTTCGTTCATTATCTCCCCAACAGTTGTACATATTCATTTCAAATATTATATATGGATATGTCAAGTTAGAATTCGGTCGAGTTGTGATAATTTCTGACATAGTTACCTATCTTGAACTTTGAAAAAATGAGACATTTTTAGTTTCCACTCATTATCTCCTAAACAGTAATACTCTTTCAACTAAAATTTGACATGTAGATATATCTTAGGAATAAGATGGCAAAGTATAAAATTGATCATGGTTCGATGATTTTGGACAACGTTATCTCTCTTGAACGTTAGAAAAAATAAAATTTTAGTTTCCGCACTCTTACTTTTGTGGAAACGTATGAAGTCATTATCTCGGCTACAAAATATGCAATATGCAATTCGCAAAAGGTTAACACTTAATACTTTCATTACCTTCAACTTTGTATAAAAATGGTTTGTGTAACATTAAACAGTTGAAAGGCTTTGAACATAGAATAAAAAGAAATAGTTTGTGCAAACAAATTTGGAACTAAATAGTGATATAACATTTTAAATGTTGCGTTCATGCGGGGGCATCCCTGGCCTGACGACACATTTCTGTTGTTTGTTTTGGTTTTTTTTAAAGTTCATATGTTTAGCGTTTCAATGTAGGTGTAATAAAGGATAATAGTCTCAAATATAAAATACATTTACTTGTGATTGAAAATGCATACAACTTATATCTTACTAATACGTAACTTATAGTCATCTTTAAGAAATGACCGTGCACGCATTCCTCTTTATTGCTTCAATATAAGTCCACCAAATTTATTTACAAATGATATTCGTTCAAAAGTCAAGGTACTGATTTTTTTATTGACACTTAACCTTCACCATGATAAGATATAGGTGTCCAATACTTCTCCGTCTATGACAATGTTGTTAGTTTTTCTTTTTGTTTGTTTGTTGTTTTTTTTGTTGTTGTTTTTAATTTCTTCATAATAACCTGAACGTGGTGCAAACAGATAACTGGAACTTTTTATGTATAATTTTCAGAGGCAATTGAAAGAGAGGGAAATGTTCCCTTGCATAAACTAATGGAAGACTTAGGAGGACTTCCAGTGTTGGGATCAGAATCAGGTGGAAAATGGAATCAAAATGCTTACTCTTTTGAGGATCTCATCGTCATTTCTTTTCAAGTGACAGATTCCGTACCGATACTTTATGTTCATTTAGATGATGTTTATTTGGTCGGCCAAGAAAAATACCGGCTTAACGTAAGACTTTTACTATAGTATTTACTTGTTGACGACTAATTATTATTTGTGCGTTAGCGATCAGTCATTAAAAGCTTTAATTCTGATTTTTTCATTATTTCATTAAATAATTCAAAAGTTATCCAAACAAACGATTTTCACTCGCAACATGATATTTGATTTGATAACTTTTTGCAGTATTTAAAAAAGAACTTATTTTATAACATTGCAATAAACCCTACATACTCTATTGAATAAATGGGAATTCCATTGATTGAACAATAAAGGGGTTGTTCATGACCGATTTCGATAAGAAAGTTATCTGGAATAATGTTTGGAGTACAGTAGGAAAGTCGCCATATGGTATTGATATTGAACGGTACCCTTAAGAGTTGGCCAATTTTTAAGGGATGACAACACCACCATTATAATAGAGTAAAACATGCATCTTCTATTTAGAAGTTGAGTATGTTCATTATAAGAATTGATAATTATGCGGAATGAGTTGTTTATAGCTTGAAAGCATGTTTAACAATTCATTTAATGTCTTTACCTAAATCAAACCAATGTTATTATTATACACATTTGAAAATTTTATAATAGGGAAAACAGCATTTCTGTATGGAGTATATTGATATGCTCTCTTGTATATAGTTGCTGGGTTTGAAAACGGTTCAACTCCTGGATTTTGTCGGAATGTACTTCATGGACATAATTATACACTGGCCAGTAAATAGTGCAGATTATACATTTCACTAGCGTATAATATAATATTATAATTGAAAAAAGTCCACATTATGACATGCCTTTGGTTTGCAAAATGGTGTATGTTGTAAACATAGGTTGTTATATGCATGTGATACGTAACACATATTTTACTTAAAAGCCCATTATACATCAGAAATGCTACTTAATCTATTTCTGAAAAAAACTTATTTTTTGTGGTATTTTGTTACATTTCTCAGTTGCCATATACATGGAATATCTTTTATATAAAGCTCCTTGTCGGCAATCAGTATAATCATAATGAATTTGCAATCTGACTAAAGTTCAAATCTATTTATTTCTTTTATGTACATGTAGATCTGATGACGACCGTATATGTTTCGCCTTCTTCATAATTCGGATTTCCCGAGAAAGTTATTTTAAGCCATGCAATCAAACCGGTTTTAGCATAGGAATTAGAAGAAGTATTTAAATTCCGTTATCCGTTGTTTATTTTTGTTAGAAAGAAAAAATGTTTTAATTATTTTTAACAAATTAACCTGAAATTATAGAGTCAATTTCTGTAACTGTAACTGTATGCTTACCTCAATTTCACTGCTTTTACCGAGCGTTTAGGCCGCCATTTTATAAGCCCATTGTACGATTTTTGTCACGTGATCATCCGCAGTGATAACCATAAACCAACTACCCAGGATGAATTCTACTCATAATGAATGTCAAAAAGTCCACTCCTAGTGTTATGGTGTTTGGAGAGCTTAGTACTCTTCCAATTGATTGTGTCATAAAATGTAGAGTCCTAAATTTTTGGTGCAAAATCATTTATTCAAAACCTGATAAAGTATGTAATATTATGTACAAACTAATGTTTGAATTGGACCGTCAAAACGTATATCACTCCCCATGGATAGCTTATGTTAAAAAATCATTGCAAGAGCTTGGTTTTGCTGAATACTGGATAAACCAATCTGTTTTATCACCTTCTTATTTTAAAAATATTGTCAAATCTAGAATCAAAGACCAATATGTTCAAATGTGGCAGGAACAGGTGTTTAACTCTAGCAAATGTATCACTTATAGAATTTTTAAATCCTCATTTAAGTTAGAACCCTATTTGAAACTTTTACCTAGAAATCTAGCCTTATCGCTGTGTAGGTTTAGACGGAGTAACCATAAACTCCCTATTGAAAAGGGTCGTTATATAAATTTTGATTTAAGATATTGCCATCTCTGTCCAAGTAATTCTTTATTAGTAGTTGAGTTTCATTATGTTTTTCACTGTCCTTATTTTAACATTTATCGTAGAAAGTAGTTGCCCATTAATTTACGAAGTGGTACCATGTTTAATTTACAGCAATTATTTCAAAATACTAATAGAACTGTATTAATCAAACTGTCTGTTTTTACACAAAAAATAATGTCTATTGTGAAATAATGTTTACCACCTTCTAGTCAGTATCTATTGCCAAATATTGTCTTTATTTTCATTATTCACTTAATCTATTCTTGTGTATTTTTTTTCATCTTTAAGGTCTCATGACATTTGTAATCGCATTGTGACACTTCCTATTTATTTGTTGTGGAACTAATTGTACCGGCGTGGTGTGGTTGCAATGTGGGGCTTCATGGGCCCCATGTTGTGGTTACACCATGTCGCTGTATCACTTCATTTGCGTTTTGGTCAGGAATTTCATTGTGCGGTTGCATTATGTCTCATTCTAGTCACTCATTGTAAAGTCATTCATAAGTATCTCTTGTCTTATTTTTCTATTTATCATGCAAATTATTTTGTATGGAAGGATATTAACGCCAAAATTACATCTTGCTTTCTTGAGTTACAACGTGCTTTCTAACTTGTACATCTTGCATTCTGACTTGTACATCTTGCATTCTGACTTGTACATCTTGCATTCTGACTTTTACATGTTGCTTTCTTACATGCGCATTATGCTTTCTGCTGTGCGTCTTGCTTAATTGTATGTTGATAACGTCATTTAACGATCAATTATTATTCATTTGTTGATCTGGTATATTTACTCAGCTCATGACGAATTTCATAAAGTAGAATGACGCATAGCCGAAAGCCAAATGCAGCAAGCATAATACGACGCGACATCTGGTGACACACAAATTATGCTAACAGGTTGCGCTACAGTTATATTCTCGGTAAAGTCCGTATTGCGGTTCGGATTCAGTTTACCAAATTATGTCCCTTCGTTTTAAAATTTCCATTTCCATTATGGAGGAAATATTAGGTAAACATATATACAAAACGATTTTAAATTAACCAATTTTTGTATTTATTACTGAAATTCTGTGGGTCAAATTATATTTCCAGCTGACAATGACAAGTTGCACATTTCCAAATCAATGATTTTTTTATTATTAAAATAATTATAAAATAGAAGAGTAAAAAACTGTTTTTGGGCCATAAAAAAACTTCTTAGTAAAATATTTCATCGTCTAGAAAAGTTCCTAATTTTTGACATGGCTTATTTCCAATACCTATGACCATCCACAACTTTTAAATGAGTTTTTATAAATCAGGACATTTTCTTGCCTATTTTCAAACTAAATGTGTACACACATTGTTAGACTTTTTAAAAATTCAACTTGTCCAAAAAAAAAATCATTTTTCACTAAGTTGAAATTATTCACTAAGATGCTTTATGAATACGGCCCAGGTTCTTGTTCACAGTGTCAGCTTAAAACTGAATTGAAGGAACTGCTGCCAAAATCAGCTGATTCTGAGAAAAAAATGTCAAAACTGTCAATCTTTGAGAGTGCAGCTTTAAGATGAATGATTGATGAGTACAAAATGTACAAAAATGATCATAAAATGAATATTGCATGTTGGACTGAATATTACGGTGGCAAAAAGGTGACATGTGTATGTTTTTATCTATCTCGTGCGCACGAGATACTATGTCGTGGCCACGAGTTTCTAAGTCGTGGCCACGAAATAGATAAGTCGTGGTCACGAGATACTATGTCGTGGCAACGAGATACTATGTCGTGGCCACGAGTTACTAAGTTACATTTAGCGTCACGGTGACCCTGATTTTTGACCCAGTGACCTCGAAATTAGTAGATGTCATCTACTGATATTTCTGGGTTATATAAACTATGGCTTATCCCTACCTAATTATTCATCAGACAAGGATTTTACCTTATATGCTATCCACTGTCCACGGGCAATGTCCCTTCCAAATAAAATAAAATAAACCAGGACTTATTCTTTCTCATGTTATCGTATAAACAAGGTTAACAGGCAGTGGTACGTACAAACTGACCAATACGATCACAAAATTGTCCCAACAAAGAGCTATAGTCAAAATTAATGTCTGATAGGCCTTGGAAGGTGACTTTCTAATATGATCCTAAAGACAATTTCAAAGCGAATATCTTCAGTATTTTCAAAGATTAATGTTGCATGTAAAAGAAAGTTGTTAAGTTTAAAAAAATCATAATATATATATATATATATATATATAATCTCGTTCCCATGACTTAGTAACTTGTGGCCACGACATAGAATTTCGTGGCCACGACTTCGCTATCTCGTAGCCAAGACTCTGTATCTCGTGGCCACAACATAGTATCTGATGGCCACGACTTAGCTATCTCGTGGCCACGACATAGTAACTCGCGGCCACGACATAGTATCTCGTGGACACGACTTAGCTATCTTGGGCCACGACATAGTATCTCGTGGCCACGAGATAAATAAAAATACACACATGCCACCTTTGTGACACCGTAGAATATGCCTTTTTAGTAGTTTTCTTTATGAAAAGGCATCTTCAGCCCAACATGTCATTGTCGACTAGAAATATAATTTGACCCACAAAATTTCAGAAATAAATAAAAAAAAATGGTAAATCGTTTTGTATATATCTTTACCTTATTTCCTCCATAGTGGAAATAGAAATTTTTAAAACGAAGGGACGTAATTTGGTAAATCCGAACCGCAATACGGACTTTACCGAGAATATAACTGTAGCGCCACCTGTTAGCATAATTTAGGTGTCACATATTATTACACCGGATGACGCGTCGTATTATGCTTGCTGCATTCGGCTTTCGGCTATGCGTCATTCTACCTTATGACATTCGTCATTCAAGCTGAGTAAATAGACCCAAATAGATAAGTTATTGCATTAATATACCAGATCAACAAATTAATAATAATTGATCGTTAAATAACGATATCAACATACAATTAAGCAAGACGCAGAAAGCATCATGTGCATGTAAGAAAGCAACATGTAACAGTCAGAATGCAAGATGTACAAGTCAGAATGCAAGATGTACTGTCAGAATGCAAGATGTACAAGTCAGAATGCTAGATGTACAAATTAGAAAGCACGATGTAACGTAAGAAAGCAAGATGTAATTTTGGCGTTAATATATCCTTCCATTACTACATTTTCTTTATTGTTCTTTTTTTTCATTGAAATATTGTTTATCACAAATGTACATTTGTTATTATTTTGTAATCATGTATTGACTAGTTTGATCAACCGAGTCTTAATCTACCCAGACAACTTTATCTTCAAGGAAAGGAAGACCCGGCTTTAATGGCACTCAAAACGTATTACCTAGAGCTATTTCAAGCGTTTGGGGCAAATGAATCCGCAGCCGCAAAATTCGCTGAAAATACCTTAGATCTTGAAATTGACCTTGCAAACGTAAGTTAACATTATAAATGAAACGTTAATTTATATAACAGTTACGTTATAAATAATAAACATTTAAACTCAGTAACTTATTGTTATCAATTACATATCGTTGCATGCCATTTCACAATGATTGAGTTTGTCTGTTAATTAATCGTCAATAGCGCTAGAATCAATAAATGATATGAATATATAAGTCTTCTAATTTTATTAGGCCAAAAGACGCCCATTATAACTACTAGTGTTAAGTTGGTAGTTTGTTTGGCAGCTGTAAAGCTTACATATCTTACATTTTAATAATTTTGCAAATTTTACTTATGATTAATTTTACGCGGAATAAATTTAGCAAGCATTTGTTTTAATGAAACAAAATTATTTCCAACGTGTACTTCACATTCGCATCAATGTAACTGGAAAATTCAAAGTAGTGGTGTTGGTGTTGGTAGTTTTCACTCTGCATCACGGCAGTAGGCGACATTCAATTTACCAGAGTACAGTTCAGCCACCGACTGTCAAGTAGTTAACCAGTAGAAGTTGCCTTCACTTTCGTATAACACTTCCGTACATACCAGAGCAGAGGTAGAGTGCGAATGACCATAACAAAGATTGCATGATCAATCATCAATGAAAGTGATATGCACCATATGGGAAACGAACCCGAATCGCCCAATTCACAGTCCAATGTTCTACCTATTTAGCTAACTGGACGGTATACAAATTCTGAGTATTGGAAAGTAGCTATATGTTTATTATATCCAAATCTTTCAGATAAGTTCAGACAATCAGTACGAATCGTCGGTTATAAAAATTGTTCCAGTCAGTAGCCTTCAGGAATTTGGAGTCACGGTAGGAATATTTTGTTTTGCAATAGGCTATAACAATAAAATACCTGAACATACTTGTTTTGCATTTTTTATTAAGCTCGTGTTCTCTTATTGTATTTATCTTTTTTAAAGAAGTGGTGTAAAATACAACTCCTGTGATGTTAATATTCTACTTGTGTTTAGGTTACAATGAGATTGTGCAGGACTTGTGGTTGCTTCCAAGCTCCTTAAGGGAGAGAATACATCAAGTATCATTTTATTGATCATGATATACATAGTTACTTTTGTATAGTCACATACTTTCCCGTCATGAATTTATTGCTCACATTGAGGAATTGGTCAGCGGTTAATAACCTCCTTCTACTCCTATTTTGTCAATCGGTTCAAGAGTTGTTTCTTTAAAAGAATTTCAGACTTGGATATATTTTGATTTTAAGTAAAACATTTTATGTCAACTTTTCATGTCGTTAACAAATAAAGTGCGAAATCGCCCGTTGTGTGTTGAATCTTTGAAAACATTCTATACATTTTGTATTGTCACGAGAATTTTTCTTTCACAAGAACAGAACACATTTTTATTTACATTTTAGGCGAATTTTTCGCAAATTGTTGAGGGTATTTATCAAAGTGGTGGATATTCCTTGAATGCTTCTGATGTAGTCACTATATTTTCAATCGGCTATTTCAATAACACCGTCACTGTGCTCAATAAACACTCAAACAGGTAAGCATTGAAAAAACAAAATATTGGGGGGGGCGGGGGAGGGGGTGGATTTTTGAAAAGTAATTATTCTAGATTATTATTATTCTAGAACAACTCATAAACGGGTCTTTCCTTTAATAAATCTGGTGTTGAATGGAAGCAAATAAACGCGTTACATAATTATATAAAAACAAGACAACGGTGAAAGTTGTCCATAAGTATGATTGTCGTCATTTGAGCCAAATCAACATGTTCTTTTTATTTCAAAAGTTAATGGTGATACACTATACTCATCAAATTTATTTTACAAACCAAAAAACAAGAATCGGTTGAACCGGGTGATGGTCCCCAAGTAAGCTTTGGACACAGAAAAAATATCTCTTGAAGTGTCAGAGTTATGTCCCTGACAAATTTCAAGTATGTAAAAATAAACAAAGGGCAATAACACTAAAATTAAGCAAGGCAGAATTAAGGTCCTGTTGCGCTGCACTTCTATTTTAATTAATGAGATCAATCTACCTACAAACCTCTTATAGTTTTAGAGCTATGTCTCGAACAAAGTTTAAAGTGAAAAAAATACCAAAAGGCAATAACTCCAAAATTAGGCAAGACAGAGTTATGGCTTTTTTGCACATCACTTCTATTTAATGATTGCTATCTATCTATAAAGTTTCATGTTTATATCTCTTATAGTTTTGGAGTTATGTCCCGGACAAAGTTCAAACTGTAAATATGAACAAAGGACAATAACTTCAACATTAGGCAATACAGAGTTACGGTTCTTTAGCACTCCCTTCCCAATCAATGAGATCTATTTACAAGTACACTCTATGTGTACAAATGCACAAAGGGCAATATCTCCAAAATTAGGCAAGTTAGAGCTATGGTTCTTTTGCACTGCAGTTCTACACAATGATATATATCTACCTATAAAGTTTCTGTTGATGTATCTTATAGTTAAAGAGTTATGTCCCGATAAAATTCAAACTGTAAATATGAACAAATGGCAATAACTAAAAAATAGGCAAGACAGAGTTATGGTTCTTTAGCATTGCACTTTCAATCAGTAAGATATGTCTATCTACAGAGTTTCATGCTGATATCTCTTATAGTTCTAGTCGAAGAGTTATGTCCCGATCAAAGTTTAATTTGTAAAAATAAACAAGGAGCAATGACTCCAAAATAATGCAAAACAGAGTAATGGTTCTTTAGCACTGCACTTCTACACAATGAGATTTATCTACCTACAAAGTTTCATGTTGATATCACTTATAGTTTTATAGTTATGTCCCGGACAATGCTCAAAGTGTAAATAATAACAAAGGGCATAAATTTCAAAATTAGGCAAGGCAGAGTTACGATTCTAATGCACTGTACATATTCTAAATTAGATTAATCTACCTACAAAGTTACCTCTTGTTGTTTTTAAAACAAAAATAGCGTACGGACGGACGGAAAAAGCGGCGACTATATGCTCACCCTTCGGAGAGCATAGTAAAAACAGTTTACCACAGAGTGCGTATGAAATGCAATAAGATAATATCAATAAGTAAATATAACATTTATTCTTTCAGTGTTATTGCTAATTATATTGTTACCAAGGTTGTTATGACACAAGTTAACTTTCTGCCACGTATCTATACAGATATTACTGAGCGATTTCTAGCAGTAAGTGGAATTTACTCTATTTATATTTCATTTGGAGTAGAAGAACTGTCGTGTATTATCTTTAATGGTATTTTTTTTATATTAACATATTATTTTGTTCAAGCTCTATTGCGAAACAACTTCTTGCAACTTAAATTAACCACTTTCGAGTGCTCTTCCTGGAACCAACCAGTACTGGTGTCATATGAAGAAACATGACCGTGACTGAGTAGAATTATATAATTATGCATTTGGATCAAATAACAGCAATTTATTTTACAGGCTTCTGGACAGGCGAGTAACTCTGCCTCAACTAGACTTGAATATTGTGTTAATATGTTGAGAGATAGGATGCCTGATGTCATAACTCGAATCTTCGCAAAGGAAGCTTTTCTTGAAAAAGATCGACGTTACGTAAGACATTTCATTTATCTTTTTACTCAATTATTAGCAAAAATGTGTTTGTGACTAGAAATAGGTAACATAGTAAAGTAATGAATCGAATTACAGCCAACCAACCCAGCGCAAGCATGATATAAACATGTGATTTGATTTATTCTAATTATCGAAAAACATATACATATTTATTTACAATACAGAATTCAATTTTTATCTGTGTTTATGATGTAAATTAATCAATCAAATTAATGGGATGTAAACAGAAACTGTTATCTGATTAAATAATCATGTAAACATATACATCATAACAAACAAATAATTTGCCTGGATGTGAACTGGAGAGCAACGTATTCATAGCCCTAGTCTTTGCAAGAAATAGATTCACAGGAAGCTTTTCATTCAAAATTATCGAACAATTTCATATAACTGCAGGTCTTGGAGCTGGTAGAGGATATTAAGAAATCCTTTAAGAAAAATATAGATGCGACCAAGTGGATGTCAAAATTCACCAAGCGTGCTTCAAAGGAAAAGGTTTTGTATGTTTGTTTGTTTCATTCTACGTCTTTTCCCAACAGTAGTTCAATCATATAGGCGGGTAGTTTCCTAACCATCGTTCCTGGAGAGTTACACCAGTACTAGACTACCTTTCTCCGCGCTAAACTAGCAACGTAAATAGTTGATATCTTGAACACAAGCTGAAAAGTTTCATAATTTGCAAGGATATTTATAGATTGGTAGTTTTGAACATAACAAAAACAACATTTTTATTGCAATTCCGCAAAATTTGGCAAATGAAAGTAGATGTCATTCTGGACAACAAATCAACATTATAAGGACGAATGCATATAATAAATACATTGTCGTGGCTTTCTAAATCTAAATGATGTAAAAAAAGGCGAGCAGTGTTGAATATTATTTGGTTTGGCGTTGCATTCCTATATCTTCCAAATGTGGAACGAGATATATGCAAGGCTGTTTGTATATAGTATCAGGAGCTTGACTTGTTTGAAGTATTTCTTTATGTTATGTTATATTGTTAGATATCTAATGTAGTTCTAAAAATGATTCCTGAATAGGTTGATAAAATGGGAGTGGAAGTAGGTTACCCTGAAGAAATATATAACGATGCGCTTTTAAACTCAGTTCATAAGCAAGTAAGTATTTCATGGTTTCTATAATTATACTTTTTGACGTCGATGCGTTACAATGCCTGCATTAGCGCAAGGTGAGCTTTTGAAATCACAATTAGTTTAGTGTCCTTGCATCCGTACGTCAGTGAGTCCGTCGTCGTAATTTTCTTAAAAGACTTCTTATCTGAAATTGCTAAAAAACATAATGATACTTTTTTGCGATGTTCCAATCATTAAGTTTTAGTAAAATTGTTCAAATGTTAGATTTTCCATTAAATATTTTGGTAAGAAGGGTTAAAATAGCTATAAAGAATTAAATCTTGAAAACTCTTCTCTGAAAGTGCAAAGCCTAGAGCTTATATGATATGTCTCAAGCATCATGTTATCAAAATTATCGTTCAAATTGTTGCCTTGGGGTAAAAATTGTTCCCACCCAAGGTGATCATGGCTTTTCAATATACAGTATTCCTTTTATTCTTGAAAACTGCAACGGTTATATTTAAAATATTTAGCATTAAAAATTTTCTACTAGACATGCACAACCATGTAAAAATTATAGCCCTTGTGAATAAATTTGTCTCGCCCTGTGGTTCATGCGTTTTCTTTACATGTTTATACTAAAAACTCGAAAACAACAGTTACTCTTCTCGAACACTTTTATGGCGGAAGCATGAAACATTGTCAGGTTTGCTTTTTGTTTTGTTTTGGGTTTTACGTCACATAGACACAGTATAGGTCATATCGCGACGTTCCAGCTTTACTGGTGGAGGAAGACCTCAGGTGCCCTTCCGTGCATTATTTCAGGCACGAACGGGCACCTGAGTAGAATCACCGGCGTTCCGTAAGCTAGCTGGATAGCTTCCTCACATGAAAGAATCCAAAGTCCCTGTCGGGATTCGAACCCACAGCGGTGAGGGGCAAGTGGTTTGAAGTAAACGACCTTAACCACTCGGCCACGGACGCCCCACATTGTCAGGTGGACCCCTACCATGCTTGTTCATATCACAACACTCTGTTCTAAATTAGCCCCTACCTTTGGCGGTCACTGATTTTCCTTTTAAATTGTATGTATATAGAAAACCAAACTATCTTTTTCAGAAATGCGCATAAAGACGAACCCGTTGAATTATTTTGTTCAATATTAGCGCATGATAGCTTATATTTTTTAAATTCATTTGTAAAGGCTGCACGACAAAAATTATTTTATGCCAGGTTGAGTGCATTACAATTCTAATATAAACATGAACCCGTTTAAAATACATGTCTAGCTATCATGTAATCAAATCGCTAAACGTTCTAGTAAATTTAGTTGTTAAAAACTTATACATGTGTGAATGATAAGGATATTTATTAAACGTTTAGAAACGTTTTTATTTTGCATGCATTTTAGCGTGCGTATATCGTTTAGTGCATATCGTTTTGCGTGCGTGTGTGTAACGTTCGTTCGTATAGCATGTAACGTGCGTGCGTTTTTTCTAGAGCGTGCGTTTTGCGTGTAAACTGAAACATTTACCCTACTGTATCTACGAGTCGATGGCAGGACAAAACTAACTTATTCATTTTTTTTTTAGTTTTCCATTACCCCTGAGAGTCCATTCACAACAGCCGTAAGCATGTCTAAAGCAGAAATGGTCCGCGAAGCACAATTACTACGGGAACCTGTTTTTAATGACCCGTAAACTATTTTTATATTTAATATCATATAACAGTAGCTATTATTAGGTAGTCTAATGCAGTCCAACATACTATTTCTTTAAACGTTTCGATCTTCATCGAATGTTATTAAGAAATGATTTGTCAGCAAATGTTAGAAAATCGTTTACATACGTACTTGAAGATCATTTGTAAGTAAACGCTTTTTATGCTTGTTTGTTCATGCTTTCTTTTATTGTTTCGACTGTTTTAAAAGAAACGTATTCAAATGTAAAAGCTATCGTTATATTAAAAATATGTCTTATAAAATGCATAAAATAGATATGTAAGACTTGTTACTATTTTAATTTTAACGTATTCTTCTATTTAGAACGTACAGTCGTACATTTGTTTCAACTGTTTCCTTCATTATAAACGATAATTTGTTTATATTCTGATTTATTGGTTTGCAAATAGAGAGTATACTAATGCTTTCCTACTTGACACATATCCTTTATACATAAACATTCTAATGAGACGATTTTTCAGATGGAAGTTCTCACCATTAATTGTAAACGCATTGTACTACAGCTACTCAAACACCATGAGTAAGTATAATCATGTTGTTTTTTTTTATTCTTTTTTATAAACTTTACTTTCCTTCGTAATTAAACATGTGGAAATGCAATCTAAAAGTGTTTTAAAGATACTAAGCCGGGGACTTAGACTTACTTAGTTTAATAGTATTGCGTAATGTTTTGTCAGTTTTTTGTGAATTCTAATTCAGACAAGGTTGATTTGTTTTTATACATGCCATACAATGTATATGAATAAAGAATGCATTGAAAGTAGTTAAAATATATGTAATAAGTTTTTTACGTTATGGAATCGATACTACATTTTAAGAAAACATATTGTTCGTGTAGATTTCTTTATTCCTTATATAATTTTTAATTGCTCTATATAAGTTAAATTTACTAATTTCCTCTTTTCAAGAAAACAGTGAAATGTTGCCAGGCTTGTGGAAAGCCTGTTCATTTTGTTAGATTCTTAACAAAGATAATCGGTATGTCATATGACAAATTTGCAAATTAAAACAGGCTGTTGCCATTAATCTTAACAAATTGAATATTTTCCAACAGGAAAGACATACCATTAAGATAAGTTATAAATACAAATTATAGTATAATCATCTTTGAATTAGCAAGATTATGCATTTTATCATATACTGATTTAGTACATGAATTCAGAAGGAAACAAACTTATTAATGTTATGTTACATGTAGTTATTTTTTCTTGCTATGATTTTAAAACATCACTTATTTAAACAATTATTACACGCGACACAAGTTTTATGGTGACAATGTATTTTTACATCACATATATATGATGTCTGAAAATTGCCCTTTTCAATTGAATTCCGCAATTCGAATGTTAGTTATATTATTAATATTAAATATATCAAAGTAAACATTTAAGAAAATGATAAAAATAACAATAATAATGATAATAATAATAATAATAATAATTATAATAATAATGGTGATGATGATGATAATGATGATGATGATGACGACGAAGATGATGATAACAAAAATTTGTTTCAAATTGAAATTTTACATAATTTGTCCTTTTCCTTGACAGTACAGTAATGATGCACAATCCAAAACAAATATAATGGCTATGTCTGCGCTCATTTAAACATATGAAAATATAGCAGTTGTGTGCGTGTTATATAAAACATGTACATTTAAATTTAAGAAACAAAGTTGTAAAATCCAGAAGTTTGGTTTTCATTTAGTGATTTACTACAAAGAATTTTAATGATACATCGTGCATTAGATTGGATTGTTCTACAATTGTCACTTTGTCCACGAGTATTTCAAAATAATGATAAAAACCATAGAAATGTATCATTTAGATAGTCTTATAAAATGAACCTGAAATGAAAATATTGAAGTTCGAAAGTATAAACACATATATATGATATAGTAATCATTTAATCTACTATTTATGTAATATTGGATCATGTACCTAAGCTTGCTTTTTTCAAATAAGAAACTAGATACTTACCAGCATAAATATTGAAGGTGAAATAGACATTTCGTTATAGCCCAATTTTATGGCGGCCGGTTTTGTACACTTCCGCTGGCGACAACACGACAAAGTGCCAAACGTTAAAATTCAAAACCATATAATTTTTTTATTTATTTTTTTCTTCAGCTATAAATTCAGGAATACTACAGGACAACGTGTACTCGCATGGAAGTCCAAAGTAAGTCTTTACATTTTCATTTTGTCAGTTTCTAGCTCTACTTCCAGTAGGTTTATAGCTGAATAATAAGTAAAATTTGCCCAAGCGTTGAAATTATGGAAGCGGTATTAAACGCATAAAAAATAACTCTTGGTTCACTTACGCTACATTGTAGTTTTTGACATGTACACTTGGATTCCTACTATTAACATTTTGTTGCAATTATACATCATCACCCAATGCATCCTGGCTTGCACATGCTTTTATTAGACTCTGCATTACCATTTTGCTATCGTTCTATTTGACTTCTTTTTTAAAATCTTGTCTACGTTTAAAATTTTAAAGTTTATGCAAGATCCGTTCATTTTTTTAAACGACGAAATTTCTACCCTTTAATTGGGGGCAAAAAAAAAAACGATGTTTTTCGATTAAAATTTAAAATAATTTCTTTGGGAACAAACCCCATGTACAATACAAAAAGACAGGTTTTCAAACAACCCTTTTTTTAAGGGAGAGGGCCCAAAGGTTTGAAAACAAAGTTTCGGAAACCAAAAGGGGAAATTTCCGAAAATAAACGAGTACCGGGAAAACGATCACAATATTTGGGCCCCTTTTTTCAATTTTCCATAATCTTTTTTTAAAGGGTATTCATCACAGACACTTTGGGGCCGGGGCTTAAAAAGCCTTTTAAATCAAAAAAAAAAGTAATTTTCCCAAACCCCAAAAATGGCCTCTTTATAATAAAAAAAAAATTTAATTTTTAACCTTTTTAAAGAAAAGGATTTTTAAATTTTAAAAAACGTATTTTTAATTTTTGGGCAAAAGGGATTGGGAAAAAAAGCCCCTTCAAAGGAAAAGGAAATTTTACAGAGGGAAAAATTTTTTTACTAAAAAAAGTTTTTTAGGCCCCAAACATTTTACAACGGGCTATTTTTTAATTATTTTTTTTGATAAAAAAAAATTCGAAATTTAATGATTTTAAAATTTGCATTTGTCATTTTCCCGGGTGGGAAAAATTTAATTTTAAACCCCAGAGTTTTAAATAATAAACTAAAAAAAACGGTTTAAAACGTTTTTTTTTTAAAGTTTTTTCCTTTTTTCCTCCATGGGAAATGGAAATTTTAAAAAAAAGGGGCGGGAAACCCGGGAAACGAACCGAACCCCAAACAGACTTTTCCCCAGAAATAAAAGTTTTCCATAATTGGGTTTTACATATTTTAAAAAACCAAAATTCGCGTTTTTAAAAATTTGCTGCATTTGACTTCCGGGGTATCGCATTTTTTCTTTTTTGATATTTGCATTTAAACTGAGTAAAAAGACCAAAATACAAACTGTTTCAGGGAATTAATTTAATTAAAAATACCAGAAAAATAAAACATAATGTGCATGTAAAAAACCCAAAAATGTAATGGAAAGCAAGATGTACAATCAAATGCCAAAAATGGGATAAATTAGAAAAACAATTAACGTTTAAAAAAGCAAGGGGGTAATGCTGCGTTATTACCCTTTCCATAATTTCCCATTGAGTAAATTGTAAGGCTCTACTTCCAGTAATAAATGTTTAACTCTTTGTTTTTTTAAAAGTTTTGAGGGCTCTGAGTCCAGCACTAGTCTAACTGTCCAAATTTTCCATTTCGGCATCATGATAATATGTTGCAACTGTGTCTGAACGTAAGCTTTTTTCTTTACTGTTGGTATCCTTATCTTACTCAACCTTCTTCAAGTTCATTTACAATTTAGGCTACTAATAATTTTACGTCCGATGTTTTTTTTTTTTTTTTTTTTTTTTGTTTTTTTGTTTTTTGTTTTTTTTTTTGCCGATTTTATTTTAATTTGATACAGGGGTTAAATCAATAACTTGTATACAAAACTAAGATCATTCGCCCAGAACGATAATTTCTTTATTGCGAAAAATTAAAAGCGCTTTAATGTTGCTATTCATGTAAATTCCGAGTAAATTCCTTTAAACCCCTTTATCATATTCCTCAAGTTTGATCTATGTAAATATTATATAAAAATATGAAGATTAAGAACCTCGGTAGGGCTCCGTTAAAGTAATATACATTAATTTTAATAGAAATTTGATTAAACGGTAAGCAGTATAGGGTTTTCCACAAAAAATTATATATATTCATGATATAAGGAAATTTTGTTGTTTCATTTCGTTTGGGAATTTGGTCATATAAATCATTTTTTAAGAAAGTAATGACAATTAACAAAATTTTTACGTCTTCTCCTTCTTCAGACTGAAAGCTATCTTTATGTGAAATTTGATTTTCCTCTTTGCATATATAAGCTACATGTTTGACCATTTTGCTTATTTTTATTGGTCATCTTCTTTTGAATTGGATTAAAAATTAAGTCCCATAATTTGTGTCATTATTATCTTTAAAATATGATATTTATTAAACTTCTAATACCAATACTTCTTACTATTTTTAATAGATATTTGAACTATGGCGCAAATTTGGTATGATTATTGGTCACCGAAAAATAACGCATGGTTTTTTCTGGTTTACGGGAAGGGCTTTTAAATTTTTACTTTTAAACCCAAAAAATTTTTAAAAAGGTTACTTAAAATTTTTAAAAAAACCCTGTTTTAATTTTGAATATTGGGAAAAAATCTTTTTTGGGCAGGAATTTCAATTTTTTGCTCTGTTTTTGTCCATTTTCTTTTTTTTTTTAAAATAAAAATTGTTATGTTTTGTTTAATTTATTTATTTTTGTTTCTTTAAAATAAACACAAATTAAGGTTTTATCATACTTTTAAATGCAATTAGTCCTATTTTCGTGTCGCCGATGCTAAAGTTACTACTAAATCCATGTATTAGGTTTCACTGGACTTTAAATGACCTTTCAACCTTCGTAAATTGCCTTGTAATAATTATTTAACGTAGTGTGTATGTATAATAATGCTAAAAATTATAAGCAGTGGCAGTGTAACGAACTAAATTTCGGCAATATAGTTGTGTACATTCCGTTAGCTTAATAGAAAAACAATATATCGTACGATTCTGGGCATACAAACACTTTCTGGAAACTTAGATATATTTCCAAGATAAGGGCAATAAATAATTTGATAACATCTTTTTATTCTTATTATCTTTTTAATCAAATTTTGTCGGCCTGTAACGGTCCTTTCGTATTATCATGGTCTTGTCATGATATTACATGTATACACATTCATCAATTTAACTGTTTATAAAAATGACATTAATGTACCATCTATGAATAACGCTTTCCTAACCATTGGCTGCTAGGCAAACGCCTCTATATGGTCGCTTACTCGAGCCATTCTTGCTTGTTTCTTTGTATGGCGTATACATCAGATTCTGTAAATAATCCCTATTGTTGTTTCTGTATCATTTGGTTCAAAGGTAGGAACTTTGATAAAGAAGGCAAGCAGCGGACATGGTGGTTACAAAGAGATGTTGATAAGTTTAAAAGAAAGACTCAATGTTTTATAGACATGTGGAGTAACTTCACTATACCTGGAACAGGTGGCATGAAGGTGATATTTATAAGTCTAATATATATCTCTCTATTGTTTATTTATGGGTTTGTGAAAATAGTAACATGTACAAAAAAATCTTTCAAAAATACAAGAGCATCAGAAAGAACGTAAACTACTGATTACAGTATTATTGAAGATAATAGATGTTCACACAGTGTTTACGTATAAAAAACCTAAGTACTGTTGGTGTATAAAACCTTCATAGGGGATCTTTAACATAAGATTTGCTCAGCATAGTTTAAGATTTCTTTACATGTCCTTTGTGTCATGTCAAAGTTTGAACTACGTAACGTTTAACAGCTTCTTTTGACAGCCCACTTAAAGAACGACATTGGTAATACGTAACTAATATAACATTCAATCAAACCTTTAGTCAACTGATTAAAACTGACACAACTGCATTTTCGAAAAGTGATTTGAATAAATCAAACTTATGGTAAAGCGTGCTCTCTTTGACCCTTTAAAATATTAATGAGATACATAGTCAGTAATAATTAATTTCTGCATTTTTCCTTTCTTCTGCTACTAAATTTATCATGAAAATCGATTCAGTTTACAGAAAGTAAGGTTTTTAATTGCATGTTTTAACTGTTAGAATACGCTTCAGAATAATGGGGAGTTGACGTTAAATGAAGTTTTGTCTGATCACGAAGGAACACGGATTAGTTATAAGGTACCGTACTGAACATATTGGTCGCAATAAACGCAAGCAAACGATATTAGGGATTGTTTTGTTTTAAAAGTCAAATCAGCATTGCCATATCAACAAGCTACTAGGCTACTTTATATTAAACTGAAGTGCATACTTAAAATAAAAGTCAACCATTCCCATATTTCAAAATGTGTTTAACATCAAAATATATTGTATAATTATTGTCCTAAGGATACCGCCAAATTAAGATCATTGTAATAGAATATATGCAAGTGTAGTATCTCAGTCCGAACGGGCACACAACAGAAGCATAACAAGATCAAAACAATTATGAATAGCATAAACGCTTCCGTCCGAGGAGCAAAGTCATATATAATGAAAGTTATCGTTGAAATTTCCAGTATCTCTACGTAAGCGTCATATTTTCAAAGCCAATGGTTGTTTTATCCTATACATCGTGTTATAAAAGGCGCAAAGTGTAATCACACATATAAAATGCTGTTTTGTATATCTTTAGATACAAACATGGTTTCAACATTTACAGCAGATACTTTCATTGGTTTACAACATTAACTACTATGTTCTTTAGCTATTGTTTTGTGTTTATTTTTACATGCATATTGTTTATTGTATTTAAAGGCCTATCGTAGGATAATAGAGAAACAACAGAACGGTAAAGAGGAAAAAAGATTGCCTGGGCTTCCTTACACACCAAATCAATTGTTCTTCATAAATTTGGTGCAGGTATTAAACTGTTGTTTTATTCTTAATTCATTAAATTTTAAAGTTATTTTTTTCAGTTTGGCACCGCATACACGGCGGCGCTGTATTCATATTCCTAAAGCTAGTGAAGTGTTATCGTCAGCTTTACAAAAACAGTGCAGTTACCACCTAAGCATTATTTAATGATGAACATATTTTTTGAAAAGCACGTATGTCTTTCAGAAAGCCAATTAGTCATGTTTCTAGGCTATTGTTACTTTGACTTTTGATCTGTGACCCCAAAATCAACAGGGGTTATCTACTTGCCATGACTAGTCAATATGTCAATGGGACCTTATAGGTTGTGTGCGTCACTTCTATGACAAAGTCATCAAACATCGTAATAAATAATGTATACAAGAAATGTTTGCTGACTGGTAGTAATTGGATGGACATATTTTACCAACAAGTTCAAAACTACCCTGACCTTTGACCCCAACATCAATTATGGTCAACTTCTGGTAAATATCAATTCAACTGTGGAGTTAAAGGGCCTAGGACTTATTGAATGTCAATTAATAAGTCAGACACTGTTTCGACATGCAATGTCAATGTGGCTTTGACCTCCGAACCTTGTCCCAAAAACAAAAGAAGTCATCTACTGGTCCGGACCAATCACCATACAAAGCCTGAAGTTCATAGGTCTAGGCGTTCTTAAGTTACTGATCGGGGAATTGTTAAGTTTACGAACCAACAGTTCTTGACCTTGTGGATCTTGACCTTTGACCCAACCTTATCTACTGGCCAAGACTAACACACCAACGAATAGTGAGGGCTGAAGACCCATGAGTTGGCGAGTTATTGTTTGGAAACCGTTTTGAAATCGAAGGTCAGTGTTACTTTGACCGTTGATCCCTAAACCCATGATTAACTTGAAGTAATTTCCCGGTTAAAACCAATGCACCTGTTAGGTTAAGGTTATACGTCGTACACCGTTGACCGTCAATGTCAATGTCCATGTCATTCTGTCAATATTCAGTCATTATTACCGTCGTTAATACTTATTCCGGGAAAACGGTGTTTAGACATCGCCTCTAGCAATTGTTGTTTACATTTCTAAGAAACGGACAGTATTTTTCTGCCATGCAGTTTTACAAACTATCAAGAATTTTCATTACGAATATTTGGCTTTCTCTTTCAGCCCTTTTGCACCAATATAAGAAACGATATGAAGAAGTATTGGATACAGAACGTAGCTCATCCATTATCATTAATAAGGTAAAATATCAAGTTTGTGATTTCGTGATAAAAAACTATTATTTTTAATAAAGTGTCACATTTTTACTCAGCTTGTTAATTATTACATTACCTCGTTACATGCTTCCTTGCACTTGGGTTGTAGGATTCGTACATGTATCAATTTGTTATATGTTACACGCAATATATATTAAATTTTGATAAAAGCTTGTACAACTAAATTTCATCTTCTTGTGACCCAAAGGTTTTTTCTATAATTAGACAGTTTCACGTTTGACTTACGTTGAATTTCCATGTTTTACATGTTCACACAATTTTGGACAATGACTTGCTAGTACACACAAAGTAGTTTGCCAATGTATACTTAAATACTAGTGTTCTTACAATATGAGTGAATCTCTTAGTCTTTGTTGTATCTTAAATGTTGATTCCTGTCATGTCTGTAAGAAAATATAATACCTATATTATATCCGTTCAGTTGCTAGTGTACACTAAATTGGATCATATGAAAACGCAAGCTGTAACAGTTACTTATCTTAAATTGTTTAAGAATATTATTGAATGTCATGAATGTATTCTATTTATCTGGACAAACATTATGTTCCGAATTTCATTTCATTTACAAATCAACAACAATTAGTTTTACATCAAAACACCTAGCTATAATATTATAGCTATTTCAATAATAGCAGTACAAATTCGAAGGGTAATATTGGCATGCAAAATCAGATACAACACTTAATACCGCATTCGTCAAATAAAATAGATAATAGTAGAAACGGAGAACATGAATTTTTAATATAGAGAATATATAATAATAAATAAATAATCAGCAATAACAGTTTCGGAAAAACCATTTAAATGTTTTCTTTGATTGCCAAAACAACTCAAGTACCATATTTCTTATGAAATAGGAAAAGACAATATATAGTTTCTTAGTAATCCGCAATACAAATATGTACTAAGTAAGTGTTCATGTTTTGAATATGAGTGCTGTTTACCGATAGACCATATAACTGTGGAACATAGATAACCTTCTCCACACAGTCTGCTTATTTTTCACTGAATAAGTTAGTCATCATGAACAGACATCGATTATCATATATAGTACAGGCATTAGGGCAGAAAGATACTAAAACTTTCAGATATTCTGAAAGTTTACTGTTTATGTTCAGACTCAACTTTATAGCAAAGTGATTCTTTGCTAATTAAGAATTTATATAGTGTTTAATCGGAATATATATCTTATTGATACAAAATGCATCATGATAAACCAATAAGAGAGCGTCGGCACTGTCTCTATACATATTATAATAACTTGTCTCGTCCTGGCACTGACTTAAACTTACCCGTTCCGTAACATCATAAAAAAAGAACCGACGTTATGAATTTTTCGTAAGCATTATGTCGTTTTCACAAACAAACATTTGTCAAGGTAGCATTTTGTTCGGCCTTTCTTAGGGTATGCATTCGTAGGCTGTCAAAAACACGCTAGTAAGAATATCACATTCTTTTGAGGGTGATTTTACTTTATGGTAGCCGGAGAATGACTTATTAATCGACGTAGACGTTATCTTTCAAAAGTGAACTTATCTGATGGAGAGTTGAAATATAGTTTGTTTTGTTAATATAATAGCTATTGTTCACAAGTGCAAAACAATGTATTTTGGCGGTTTTTAATATTTTTAAATTATTTTACGCAGAAAGGTCATCCACCTCTCTTCATGGCGTCACTAAATTAGGATGTCACATTTTAAAAGTTGTTATACGGTTGATATATAACCCGAGAAAATATCAATAGGTCTGTTTTTTTCACACTCCATGGCTTATAAATCTTGCAAATGTTTTTTTTTAAAATAAGAAGAAAGTGATTAATGTCCTATCATATTTGATAAAGGCGTCCTCCACCACCCCCACCAACACGCACATAATATACAAACAACAGAAGACAAATAGGAACAAGAAAAAACAAACAAATGAACTCTGCACTTGACTACGTATAAGTGGTACAAACCAATTACATTATTTATTCATGACGTTCAAATAATAATAGAAATTAGAATATATATCCGCCTAAATATAATTTTTGTAATTGGTATAATAATCCGTGATAATAATAGATTTTGAATTAATAAGCTACAGAAAAAAATTCATTTTACAATGTCACTTCAGGATCTCGATTCGGGCTTATGCAGAACAGAATAGTGAAGGAATTTGCAGATACATGCGAACTTGCACCGGTAAATATTGGATCCATATGAATCCTCCTGAAAAATGCACCTCATTTATCCCAATAAACAAATCAATTGAATAATCAGTAACCTCACTGAAATAAAACTTAGATACGTATATATCATGGATTATTTACATTGGAAGCCCAATAAATTTATTTTTCAAAATTAACGATGTGTTTTGCTTGCTATGTTTCTAGGTATATTCAATTGTATCTTCATCGTTTGATTATTTGAATAATCATATATGAAATTTAAAAAAATAGCCAACAAAATCAAGGAGGTCCTTTCAACCGCCACTGTATGTTTCTGGATTTCTAACCCAGCCTCCAAATTTCTAATGTATGTATTAATCGTTACATGTATAAATCACTCCCACATTAGCTTCATCCCATTTATTTATGTTATTTATAAATTTCGATGCAAACCAACTTGTACACTCGTAATTTATCATATCTTTGTTTACTCAGATATAGAATTAAAAAAAAAAATGATCCAATTATGTTATTCAACTGTTTATAAACAAACATATCATTTGTTCTGTTAAGAATATCGTTGTGTTTTTCAAATACTTTATCAAATGACTATTTATGACTATTCAATACATATTTTATGAAGTTAAAGAATCGGAATAATTACAATGTTGACTGTGCGAGGAAAACAATATATGTTTTGGGCGCACAAAGTTGGAAATGCATGTGTTACATGCCACGACAACAGTACTACTATATACAACATGTACATCGAGGGTATGCATATATAGACAATATATATCCCTTAATTATATGGATGCTACTAAAATATTTCTTGTTAGCATTTTATTATTTTATCTTATTTTTGCAAAAGTTCTTTTATACGACCTTCACACAGTAGAAAAAAATATGTTTGTGTGACGTATTTCGACAATTGTCTCATTTTATCGATATGTTTTATTATTTAAGCATATTATTTGAAAACCAATAATCAATCCGGCTGACAGTTTGCTCCAATTTTGTCTCCAATCAGAGAGACCAAACTCAAATTAAATTTGAAAAATACAAGTTCCATAAAATGTTTTGTATGAAAAGAGCGACTTATTTCAAGTAATGTAATCGTAATCCTGACATTGATTAAATTGTGTTTCGTTGACCACTGTGCACTGCAATTGATGTTATTATATTTTAAATGAAAATGCAGATAAAGCTTTGATACGATAAAGTCAATTTTGATCTGATCTAAAGTAACTGAATTCTACGAAAAGGAATCCACAATTAAATCCCTTTCAAGTTTTTAGATCGTGGATCGTTCAAGTGACGGCACACTTTAATGTTGAGCATGTTATTAAGTTATGTAAGTTTAAGTTCTGTCTGATTAAAACTCGAATAACATGATAGAAGTGAAAATTGAAAATTTGAATTGAATTGTAGCATGTGCCATAAATTTAAAATTAAATTAAATTTAAATTTTTTTAAAATCTCTAGGGGATGGTTTTTTTAAAATATTTGGGTCTCTTCCTGTTTTAAAAAAAATTTTTTCATTTCTCAAGGGTTTTTTTTTTTTCCCGGTTAAATTTTTAAAAAAAATTTTTAATTTTTCATTGTTTGTTTAAATTTGAAACAAAATTAAAAGGGTTTTTAAATCAAAAAAATTCCCATTTTTTTAAAAATGAGATTAGACTTTTGAGAGCCAAAACGCGGGTTTTTTTAAAAAATTTAGGGGCCATGCTATTCCTTTAAATAAGAAAGGGCATTGTGGGCCCTTTATTTTTTATGTTTGTAGTAGAAATTGTAATGTATAGATAATTAATGCCCCCATTAAATATCAATCAGTTAACCTTGTAGTTCTTTGTTTTTTATTATTCAATTGTTGGTACATAGAGGAATGTATCTATCACTGAATAAATCAATTTATTATGTTTCATTTATTTATTATTAATAAATGAATTATTAAAACAAGGATCATCAAAGAAGGGCGACATATAACGGCACTCCGCCACAACAACAAAATTCAGCAGCACATAAAGAACGACACGGAGCAGAGCTGCGCACGGGACGAAACAGCAGATGCAAGGACGTTTTGTAGTTTTTATTGTTGCTGTGGTACTGTAAATAAAACAATAATTTATTTCAGTATATAAATACATGTCATTTAATGGTACAAAAAAGGGAAACAAACTCACAAAATTATCTTCAGAATCATTATGGTACGATATATTGGACTATTATTCTTACACCAGGTCATATAAGTCTGTATGTGCTCACTCAGCTTAAACACTTAAGATTATTTGAATTCCAATATAATAATACTTTACTTATATTAAATTGTCTGCTTTCACATTAACCGTCACTGGGGAAAACTGCCAACCTTTTGATCATTATTATGTTGCAATAAATTACAAATAAATACATGTCTTTTTATTTATACAAATAAAATAAAAATGGTTTATCTATACAAATACAATAACAAACACACAAAATACACGCAAACAATAATTAATAACAACAACAATGGCAACAAAGTAATTTATTGTAAACTATGACACAATTTCAACGTATCTTGGATGCTCAAAATAGGAAGACAATAATGTTGTTGTTTTTTTTAACATGAAGCATCTATTTTATTTATATATTTGTTTCAATGCTGATAGCGTCTCCTATGGAATTTCTCCACTGAGTTTTTTTTTTTTTTTTTTTTTTTTTTTTTTTGACATGAAGGAACCGAAAATATTATTTTCGAAACTTTGTATTACTGTATGTAGGTCTGAACCAATTACCCATATGCAAAATGTCAGGCCATTTGCTTAAACAGCTT